TGTGAACGGTCGATGGCGCACACGACCGGCCGAACGCGAGGGCTTTTGCCGGACCACGAAAGGTCGTAAACAAATGGGTCAAGATCTGTGCAAATGGCCGCGGGTGCAAATGAACCTTGATGCATGCCTTGCCAAGAGCCAGCTTTCTCAGCTCATCTATGTCTTTGTTGGCAAGAGCATGGCTGAAACACTGTGATCAGCACCGCGGCGGCCTCTCCTATGGGAGCCTGCGCATTCGCCAACTCCTTAAATGGCACCTGTTCTTCGAGCAACCTCCACTCAGAAAACCCAGATTGGTGGTCGAACCTTCCAAATGAACTTCGCATTGGGTATTTCTTGGGGTCAAGGCGAGGGACAGGTGACCGGTAGGATCGGGCGTTTCTTGCAACCTGAATGGCTGCGCTACCTTGAAAGTGCCATCCTGTGGCCTCGCTGAGGCGATGCAGGTATGGAAAAACACTGTGAGACTCGGTCAACGGCTCACCCGGCAGCACAGCATCAGCGCTCACGCTTCCAAGCTTCTTGCCACCCTTGTTGGACTTCTTGATGAAGCTCGCACTGTAGCAGGCGTTCCAGCGCCCTTTGGTCAGGATGGACTGCAAGTGGCTCAAGTCCATATCCTTGGCGCCAGCATCAACAAACATGTTCTCTGCGGCGCTCCACCTCAGAGATGTGTTTGGCCTCCTCAGGATCGACCTGATCCAGGTCGTGGTGAATGCCAGCGACTTTTGCGACCCGAAGGAAGGAGTGTCGCTTGAACACTTGTCGAAGGTGTCCTTCGCGTCGGTCACGACGGTCAGCGGGACCATGTCGAGGATGGCATCCACATGCCTGGTCTCCATGGGGTAGCCGAAGAAGTCGGCCATCACACCACGGACATATTGTCCAACATCAAAGGCCTCCTCGGCCCCGAGCAGCTCAGCTCCAAAGGTGCTGCGGCGGCACACCTTGGGAAGCCTGTGGCTTCGAGTGTCAATGAGGCAGAATGCCCCCTCCTTGCCGTTCATGAGGTTCTTGTCGGCCAGGATGACAAAGAACGACGATTGGGAGTAGGTTTTCTCCTTCATCGAACGATCGCCTCCGCTCTTGGTGACATTGCCCAGGCTGGAGTCTGTGACAACCACCACTCCACAACCTTCAAGCTCCATAGGCCGGAACTTCAGGCTGAAGTTGCCGTAGGACTTCATTCGCTTGGCCAGTGCGTTGGCCTTCATCAGCGTGCCAACGTTGGGCTGTTCACCTTGTAGGACGGAGAGTCCAAAGCCATGGTCCACGCGGACCTGTGCCACAAGCCACTGGAGAGAGCCAAGTAGCCCTCGAAGCTGCTTCTGCTCGCCAGGTGTCAAGGCAGCTGCAGGATCACTCTTGCGGTGAACTGGTATGGGGACTGTCTTCAGGTTGGAGTGGTACTCCTCCATGCTGACGGTGACAACGCCAGTCTCCAAATCCTGTGAAATGTGCTTTCCACAGTAGTTGAAGGAGTTGTGCTCAATGCTTCCAAAACCAAGTTCAGCCTCCAAGCTCAAAATGCTATTGCGGGCTTCTTCCCCTCCTCCACAAAGAAGATCGTCGACGTGCGACAGCACCACTCCAAGCAACGAGCTGCGATCCTTGCTCTAGAGAAACCAGCAGGCGGCATCAGTGTTGCTCCTTTCCCAGCCACGCTCTGTGAGGGCACGGTTGAGGCGAAGATACCACTGTCTTGGGGCATCAGCCAAACCAAAAACTCCCTTTTTCACACGCGCCAGTCCATTGGCGCTCAACGGAAGGCCAGGTTCATCTCCTCGAACTCGAATGTTCTGGATGAAGAGCTCACGGGTTCCTGACATGTAGGGATCACCCTTCATGAAGGCAGACTTGATGTCCACTGAAAGAAGGCGCCAGCCTTTCTTGAAGTTGCAGGCGGTGAAGGGCAGGACCACATGTTGGCTTGTCCTGCTCGCTGTGGGTGCGTCCTTGCGAATGGAGAAGGCAAAGACGTCCTTGAAGCCAGGCACAACCAAACGTGCATTCGGTTTCTCCTCCAGGTTGTTGCTGGAAGTGCGAAGCCCATCATGCTTGTCAGTGAAGACCCAGCGATGTGTGAGGATCTTGCTATCTTCTCCACGCTTCTTGAGCTCTCTGCGAATCTTCACGGACTCAGCTTCTGACAGAACCTCCACTGCGTCATTGTTTGTCCAAACGGCCCATCCAGCTTCAGCGGCTTTGCGATAGCCCTCCTTCTGCTTGGGGTTCATGGACGACCAGTGGCACTCTTTGCGAGCGGTCTGCACTGCATTGGCCTCATTGAGATCATCAGCACCACAAGGCCAGGTCAAGCCCAACTTGCAACGGGCTTTCCATTCAGTCTGAGACGGCATGTCCCAGTTGCCACGCCAAGTGCCATGATCACGAACTTGTGCGTCCAACGGGTTGGCGCGATCCATGCAAGCTTCGCTGTAGATCTTCACGAGCGGGCGCACTTCATCAGGCTTGCTGAGGACTGTGAGGATCTCTTGCTTGCTGACAACTGGAGTGTCGCGCAACTCAGACGGTGCAGTCTCTGTGGCTGTCTCTGTCTGTGCTCGAAGTTGCTCGGTCTCAATGTCCGGACCACGCTTTCCGCTGCTGCTGCTTGTTGTGTGCTCCTCAGTTGTTGTTGGCAACGGCTGTAGCCGTCGTGCTCTCACAAGCTGTTGTTCTAAATAAGGAAAAGGTGACTGAGGATTCACTGTGCGAGAAGGTGCTGGTGGTGCAACTGGTGGTGACTCCACTGTTTGTGGAACAGGTGTGTTCTGCCGTGTAAACGGGGTGGTTTGTCGTGCGCTGTTCCCAACCACTGAAGGCAACTGTGGTTCCACGCCAGCTTGCATAGCACCAACCACTTCTTGAGGTTCCACCGGCGGCAAATCAGCAACCGTCGGGCGATCTCCGGCCTCAGATGGGGCCAGTGAAGGAGCCAACGAAGTTCCTGTAGAGCTCGACGTTCTGCTTGAAGTCACCGGTTTCGTTGTAGGAACGCCGCTGCGAGTCATGTCATGCAGGGCGGTCTCAACTGCTTCTTCAATCGCATCACGCCAGGTGTCAGTGGCGATCTGCTCCATGGGGCTTGCCAATCTCACATGCTCCATGCTGCACTTGGTGAGCTGACCCTTGAAAGAAACATACCCATTGGGTCCATCTCCATTGGATCCAGGCTCAACTGCAACGAGAAGTCCAGGCCCATGCCAACGTCTGAGTGACAGGCGGCGGCGTCGTCCAGTGTTGCGACTGTTGTACTTCTGAAAGCGGAAGAAGTAGACGATCGAGCCAGGAGCTGGAGCTTCTGTGATGGTGGTGTCTCGACTGCGGGCAAGCTCAGCTTTCCTCAAACCACGGCTGAAGTGCAGTCGAGTCATCGAGACTTTTGCTGTCTCTCGAAGGGCCATCTGGCGTGCATAGCCAGCATCATAGTTCACCAGGTCTTGTTCAGCGAGGCGGCTTTGAATGTCAGTCAGCACATCGCCGGGAGTTCTGGGCTGTTTGCCTAGTGCAGCTTGAGATGGACTGCAACCTGAGTCATTGATGTCGTTGTTGTAGGCGGAGGTAGCTTCTCCAGGAGCCAATTCCATCTCTCGTCGTCCTTGAACGGAGTTTGCTGCCACGATCGAACTCAGAATGGCCTTTAGCGTGCCACCACTTCGCTCTGCGATGCCGTTTTGCCCTGGTGCGCCGACTCCAATGCGCCACAAAAGCACTGAGTTCTGACTGCAATGGTCTTGGAACTGACGAGAAATGAACTCTCGTCCTTGATCACAAACCAGGACTCTCATCGGACCAAAGATCGGCATCCAGCGAGTCTTGACAAAGGCGATGACATCCTCTGCGCTCTTTCGTTCCAGCACTTGAGACATCTGGAACCTGGTGCAGAAATCGATGGCATGGATGATGTAGTACTTTTCACCATCAATGTCATAGGCCTCAAGGATGTCCATGTGAACCTGATCGCTGACATCACGAGGGTGTGGAAGTGAGGCAGGTTTCTTGGCGACCCTCTCTTTGCAAATGCTGCACTGATGCTCTTTGGCAGCACGGATCACCGTGGCTGGGGCTCCAGCGATGGTCAAAGCTCTGGCTAGCCTGTGCTGCGGTGGCCTGTATTGGCGTGCAGTCTGGCCACTGCTGCTTTGATGGAAGCTGGAATCTTCTCTGCATTCTCCTTTGTCTCACGCTCATCGAGCTCCGAGTCACTGTCCAAGGTCGGCGGGGCAAAATGCTCTCCACCGTCGATTTCATCATCTCCCAAGGCACCAACTGCCAAGACTTCTGAGCCTTTCTTGGTGAGCTTCTGGGTGTCGAGGTTGAATTGGTCCTCCATGCCACGAACAAGCAAGCGAGCCATCGCAGCAGGGTAGTGGCCGGCTCTAACGGTCACCTTGGAGCCACCAATCACAGGGTCGTGGAGTGCACTTTCGTCCATCCATAAGGGAAGTCACCGTAGGAAGCTAAGCGTGTCGGCTTCTTGTGGTAGTTCCTGTAGAGACTTCAGTCCAAGCTGGCACTGATCAAAGTCAACCTGGTAGGGGTCAAAGCGGTCAATGAAGTCTTCCATCAAAGGCTCTTTCCATGCTCCACTGGGCGCGGGGTTCTCCAGGACATAGTGTCGGCCTCCGCGAGCTTGCTCACCAGCCAACTCCAAAGCAAATGCCATCAACGTCCGTCCTCGCTCAAGGACTTCAGGCGACATTCCACTCTGGTTCAGCCGTTGCAAGGGACTGAACGGTCCGCAGGGGAAGGCGATGACCAGGAAGTAGGGCTTTTCCTTCCGCACCCAATCGATGCAGGCTTGCCGGTCTGCCTCCTCCAGGAAGTTCCATCCAGTGTCCAGGCTCATGGGCACTCCAACACGATGGCCTCGTTTGGCCGCTTCTTTCATGACTCTCTGTGTTGTGGTGAAGATCTCGGTCATGAAAGGTCTCGTCTTCTCCGGCATAGTGCTTGCCGAAGGGCTCTGTTGGGAAGTAGAGCTCTTATTTGTCAAAGGACTCGGTTTGCTCATAGAGCTCGACAGGCGAGAGGAGGTTCTCTTGGACAAAGGCGGAGACTTGGACAAAAAGGGTGTGAGACATGAAGCCAAGTCAACGCTATTCATGAAGATCTCGTCGTTCATGTAGTGAAACATGTCCTCCTCAAATTCCGTCGCTAGGGCCTGTCGAATCTGTTGTGGGCCAAGTGAGATTCTTCTGCAATCTGCTTGGTGGTCCTTCTCGAAGGCATCAGCGATGAGCTGGACTTGTCCTTTCTTCAGCTCTTGGTGCAAGGAGAACTCTAAGGATCCAGCACTGCCTCCACTTGGTCCTTCGTCAGGTCGACACAGTCCAGGTCGCCGTATTGGGCCTCCAGGCGTTCCCGGTAGACGCTCTCCATGGATTCTCCCGCCAACTGGCGAAGTTCGGCCTCCGAGAAGTCGCTCATCGGGCGCTCCTCTCCGTTGAGGACGCTGTCCACCTGCATAGGAGCTGCTCCTGTCAGGGAGAAGTGCTCTGGCATCTCGCCTTGCGTCTGCAGCTGATGTAGTCCTCCAGGGCGACGGTTCAGGGTGTCGAGAACTGAAGCGACCTGCTGCATCATGTCGTGGAACTGGGCTTGATTTTGGCGATACTGCCGTTCCATCTCTGCCACTTGAGGTGACGGAGAAAACTTCTCTAATCCTGCAGGTGGAGCTTTGGCTTGAGGTGCAATCGAAGGTGCCGTGGATGGTCTCGGATCGGGATAGGTCAGGCCCGAGCTCGAAGAGGCTTTGTTGTGCTTCGAAGGCGGCTTGCCTTTGAGCAACTCCACAGTCGGCTTCACCTTCTCTTTGATCTGAGCCACGGTCATCTTGGAGTCGATTGGGACATTGAGCAATGCTGCTAGGCGAACAAGGTCTCCTCGAAGGGTAGGAAGTCCTCCTCGAGGTCCAATCAAGGCTCGTGCTTCTTCGTCCCTGGTGCCATCCTTCTCGGCTTGAGCAGCCTTGGCTTTCGCCTCCTTCAGCGCTTCTGACTTCACCTGCGCTGCCATGCCCTTTGAAGAACGGGCTGCAAGCATGCCCATCAGGATGGGGTCCTCCACAAATGCCACCTCCAGCCCCATGCGGTTGCGCAACCACATGCACTCCTGCATGTTGCCCACGCTGAAATGCCCCAAAGTCTCGGCCTTCTGACAAGTGCCCAACGGCAGCAAGTGATGCTTTTCCATCTCGGTGGCCTGAAGCTTCCAGCGGGCCAGCGAATTGATAGACAAAGCGCAGATGAGGTCGCCTGACACCCACAAATGCCAGCTTAAGCGTGCCACGGAGCGTTGAACGAAGCGCATCCACTTTGTGGCCACTCTTGCCGCTTTTGAAGGTGGAAGCGGCTCGGACTTCTTGAAGAAGGTGTCCATTCCGAACATGGCTGTCAGCTGAAAGGCACTCGTTCGGGGCTGTAGAGCTCGAAGTCGGGGTCGTCGAAGAGGAAGTTGAGGTCGCTGCAACAGGTCCGGCTTGAACCATCATGCTAGCAGCGGCTTCTCTTCGTTCAAGGAGCTCAATCACACTCATACCAGCTTGCAGGCTACGTTCAGACAACAAATGCTCGTGCACCAAATCTCCAAAAACAGGGTCGGTGGCTTTGACACGTCTAGTCAACCAATCCCTCAAAGTGACTTGCAACTCAATCACATGGTCTGTTCCAAGCTTGCGCCACTTCTGAGAGCCCACACCTGGCCACTGTCGTGGAATGAGCCGCAGCAGGAAATGACCTGCGGCGAGCTGCTTGAGCGGGATGGCGGCCGTTCCAAGGAAGTCAAACTTGATCACCCTCTTGGAGAAACTCATGGTCGCCCCCACCGATTCCAAGAAGTCTCGGCCAAGGAGAAGGCCCAACGAAGGTACCGGAACCACCGAAGTCCAGAAGACCATGAGGGTGTTCCCGATGACCATAGGTAGCCGCCACCTCTCGGTGCTCACCTGAGTGCCTCCATCACTGAACCGGAAAACTTCTCGCTCGGGCGTGCTATCCACCAATGACCAAATTTCACCTGGGGCTTCACGAGGGGCTTCCAGGTAGCTAATCAACCATTGAGGGCCGGCGACCGTCCTATTGCAAGCACTGTCCAAAGCTCCCACCAACCGCTTGTCGCATGACAAATTGCCAACTGCATGAACTTCACGTGCAGGGGTTGATGGAGACTCCAAAACTTCACCAAGCGACCGGTTGCGACGAGAAACACATGAAACAGCAAAAGCTTCATGGGGCTCTTCTGCAAGGGGAGGTTCACGCTCAACCAAATGTTCGGTGTTGAGGGTCTCGACGACCTTGACGGCCTTCGTCTTCTTTGGCGGACTTTTCCTCCCAAGGCCCGCTCCAGGCTTGCTGCACTCCGGATCGCCAGCCCAATGTCCAGGCTG